TTTGCAAATGTATACGGGAGCTTCTCGCCGAATGGAAGAAGGAATTCAGAGAAACACGCCAAAAAGAATCCGCACATAGTGTACGCGTCAAGGATACATGGTGCCACCGATAAAGCCGGATGATATGTTGATCCTGCCATCGAACAGTGAACAAAGGCTTTTAACGAAAAAAAATTCTAAAGGAGAGATATCGACTAATTCTTGCCAGGCCGTGTCACGGCACGGGATACAGAAGTTCGCGTTCGAAAACCGAGGGAAAAGGTTTCCAGAAGGGCGCGTACAAAAAAAAGAGAGTGTTCAGAAATTATTATCATCCGGATTTACGTATCCAGAGAAACGGGACCCAATCCGAATCGGCGTTTCAAGGCTAAGCTACTCGTTCGCACTACGTATACATATATTAAGGAATTTTGGTATTATTCGATCGAGTTTTGATAACTTTATTATCTCCATTCTCGTATTACCTGTATGCTTTTCGTACAACGTCTTTATGAATATATTGTGTATATACATATGTATATTATACGTTCATACCTGTGTTTATATGTATTTATGGACTTGATTAAAAGACTTTATGAAAATTAATGAATGCGTTAATTTAATAAACTGAAACAAGAAATTTATATACAATACCTTATAATGAAACGAAATAATAAATATTCTTATCGATTGCATCTTCGTAGGCTACCTGAAAATACGAGAGCACGGTGGCGTACGAAAGTGCGGTTGGCCACTCGTTCGACAATGGCAAAGCCGAGAACTTTTTTTAAGTTCGCGCGCTACACGGCGTGGCATATAATCCTTGAACCGTGTGCGAGTCGCGTCTCGCCGGTCGTTTCCTGTGCGCTCGTTTTTCCCCGACCCAGCGGAGATTAAAGATTCTCCTCTCGCGAGGGTCCATTGAATCCCACTCTATATATTTTGTATTATACACAATATATTCGCCGAGGGCCCTGGCTTCGTCTCGGAATCTATTTAGTTGCCCCGGTTCAGGCTGGATCTAGATCAGATCTATGCGACGGATCTCCAAGTGCTCTGCCGCAAGAAAGAAGCTTGTTAAGCAACCGAGCAAACTTCGTTGGTCGTTGCGTTACATTTCGTTGTAAAAGCCTAATGTATTATAACGCGAACAAGTTTATAGAGAATAATTTATATATTTATCTGTAGTTATAATTAAATTTAATTATAATCCAGCATAGAACGCCATGTACTATACGAAATTCATTAACACTAGAAAGACTGAAACTTAGTATATACTTATATTGCCCAAAGCAGTCAAAATGACTTTCTTGGGCAATCTAGTGTTAATTGTTTATGTTCGTAAATCTTATGTCTAAGAGACAGCAATTAAGAAAGGTAACAGTTAATTTTTTCACGCAACCCTACTTCAATTTTATCCACCGTTTGGGACGAGGGATTTATTCTTGAAACACATGGACACGCATCGGGGTCGCATAAATCCGAGCGCAGCCTAGGATCCAGTCGCAAATTATTATTATAATGAGAGAACCGTAAAGGGATTGCATCGCCGTTGTCCGTATATTTCACACTATAAATTGAATCGTGCCCCCTATTATACAGGGTTCGCCCGGGCTTCTTTCGGGCTTAGGTACCTACGCGGAATATAAACTGGATCTAGGCCAAATCCCACCGAACCTTTTTCCTAAGGTATACGCACCAACCCCCCGGACGAATTGTGAGAAAATTTATTTCATACACTTTCGCTCGCTCGTTTTTTGTTCAAATTGCGATTTACGAGTAGAAAAAATACCGTTACGTTACACCTTAATGCGAGAACTATAACGTACGAGTAACTGCTTCGACTTGTACAACCTGATTAACGTAACTGTCGCTTTAATATAAAATTCAATTATAATTACTGTTTTGTTACAATTTTTAATACAATTTATAACAATATAATAAGTACCTATCGACTCGAGTAATTTATTAAAAAACGATGTGATTCTGAATTTGTAAAAATGAAGATTCTAATAGTTTATAATTAGGAGGATAAAATTGGAGTTTCAGCGGATGAAATCAATGTACCTCGGATATGGTCATAGTTTTAAATTTCGCAGCGGCGACGCTATTTTAAGCCGGGAACATTATCGGCCTTCGCGAGTGCACCGCCCCGAAACACGAAACTTCCGTAGCGAAAACCGAACGTCCGTTCTTCCTGTTCTAAGCTATGTAGTACCAACGTGATGGAGGAAAACGAATTAATAAACTCGTCCGATTCTAAGTACCGTGTATCCAATGGTACAACAATTGATTTGTTGAAAAAGAATATCCGATTCGATTGTAATCAATTGATTGCAATTGATGAATTGATTGGATTGAAAAGGAGTTAAAGTCACATTCACTCAATTTATTATTATCTGCAACATTTTTCTTCAATTGACTCGGGAATAGGACCATCGTAATAATGACGATATCACGATCCAAAGTGTTTTCAATTATTATTAGACGATTACTTGTAACGTACAACGTCGACGAGTATTTCACGAGTCAATAAAACCGATCAGCATGTAAATTAATAGAACGCAGAATATTTTATTAAAAGCAATGTATGAGACTAAATTAATTTTTAATAAAAGCGCAGTAGTTGTGTAATATTTGAACGTCCGAGATAATTTTAATTTGTATAGCGTGCATCAAAGATAACTTTTAATTCCATTTATGAGACTGTCAGTGAACGACAGATGCACTGGGAAACTGTTTTCATGAACAACCGAAGGTCGCGCAACAATGACGAGGAAAATCCGATCAGCGAAATAATCCTTTCTCTCGTTCGAAATCTCTTTTTCTACGCAATGGAAACTCGGTTAAGTGCAGCCGGAAACAGTGAATGATGCACATACTTGGATCGCAGAACGCGTCTCCAAGGATTAAGTATCTGTATACTCAGAGGATTTACATAATCCGCGATTGACAGTGAAACCAGATTACGTTGGAGTACAATCTTTTTTTCAAATACGATTAACTCTTTCACAGATAGCAAGTTTCGCAAAGCATGTTCTTTGCACTCTTCTTTGCACTCTTCTTTGCACGTATCAACTTTTCAGTAGCCACG